GAGAGGGGGCGTGGAGGGCGGGGCGGGGTCTGGCTGGACTTTGACGAGACCCTGAGGACCCAGTTACCAATACCCTAAGCTCCATGGGCCCAGGGACTGCATTTTAGTAAACCCCCCTCTCTTGTTTTACACATAGGAGATGATGGCCCCTACGTGAGTTTGAGGGATTGTGAGGACAGGGTTAATGTCTTGTTGATGTCTCTAGCCTCCGTCCTGGACTTGGACTTGATGCTTACTCTACAAAGGACGGCCACAGAAATGAGGGTCATCTTGGAGCTAGAAGGGGTCCATAAGGCAGGTCCCAGCCTCATGGGGGACTGTCTCATCCATTTCATCTTTATTCACCATATTAAGTACCTGCTATGTGTCAGGCAATGTTCATTCGTAGTAGTGATCATAATGATAATGGTAAATATGTCCAGTGTCGAATTAGTATTAGAGAAGGGAGATAAGTAGTAGCGACTCTTCAAAGTTAATTGTTTTTTTAATGAGCTGCTGCTTTACCATTGCATGTAGTGTCATGAGCAGGATAGTTAGAACGGGGTCCCAGAGTCTCAGTCAAAGGCCTTAGTAATTGCAAGGTTCTGAGGATAACTGCTTCTCCAGCCACCCAAGCAGCAGGTGACCTTGGCACCCTCGGAAACCCTACTCTCGGCACATTTAACTGTCGCCACTTCCTAAGTGCAAAGAAACCAAGGTTGTGAATGTGTTTTCTACAGTGGCAAGTGCTGATGGCCAGTGTAGAAAACAAATTCCTTGCCCTCTAAGCAAATCTGACCTTGACTTAGCCAGGGGTGTGTGGGGTGCCCAGCAAGGAGGATCGACTGAGCACCCTGTGTTCCCCCACCCATGGGGAACCCCTGAACAAAATCAGGGCTCCCGATCAGGGCTCACAGGGCAGAGAGGAGCCTGGAAGTGCCACATTTTCTGGTGGATTTACAGTTGTTGTGGGCATGAGAAACAGATTGAGGCGGAGGACAGAGCAGTGTGGCTGGTGTCAGCGGAAAGGAGGTCTCCTCCCAGCTCTTCCACTCAGCAGCCCATGTGAGCAGGTGCACATCCTTCCACTGTCCTATCAGGCCAGAGTTTAAGTTCTGTCCTTCCTTCTTCACAGGGCTGCCACTGAGACAGGCAAACAAGATCATGCAGGAGGAGTTTTGTAACGTGTAAACAGCTGTTTGAACTGGGATGTTGTAAGATGAAATAAAGGCGCCCTTTGACTATTCAGATCAAATGTTTTGTGACCCCCATAGTTCTGTTGGGGCCACTGCTCCCCAAGTATTTACTCACCCAAGAGAGTGTCAGCAGTGTGACTAGTGGACTGTGGCAGGAAGGATACCTCTGGGGGATGGGAGGGGGCTGCTGCACTTTATATTCCAAAGAAGGAATGTACTGATGTACATTCATGGAATGCCTGGGAGGCACTGATTTCATTCTTCTCCACTGACGCACTACGTACTCATTAAACAAAAAAGCACAATTAAGTGTTAGAATAGTAGCACTGACTCAGTGTCAGGCTCTGTCTATAGAATAGTAGCTCATTGAACACTCATAAACCCCAGAGGCTAGGTTCTGTTGTCATCCCTATTTTACAGACAGGGAAACTGAGTCACAGAACGGTTAAGTGACTCGCTCAAGGTTGCCTGGCTGGTAAGTGGCAGGGCTGGATTAAGACTCAGGCATTTTGGCTCCAGAGCCCATTCTTAGCCACTTGTCTATACGATCACCACAGTATAGGGAGCATGATGCCAAATGAAATGAAGGGGAGATCAGGAAATAGTGCAGAGGGTAGTGAAAAATGAGAGGGTACATGTCCACGGAGAAGGGCGTTCTGGGCAGAGGGAGCAGCATGGGCATGACACTGCGCAGTCTATTTGGGGCAGCTGCTGGTAATTAGATATAACTGGGGTGAGGGACCAGGGTCATACAAGATGGGGAGAAGCCATCAGGGGCCAGAGCAGGAGAGTTCCTCGCTTTGCCAAGAGGCTTAGAATCTTCTCTGTCTTCCTCCCACTGGGGCTGCCGGTTGGTTAGTTAAGCATTCCTTTGCTGCTGTCTTCTGTCCAGGTCTGTGGCTCAAGACATCCCCAAGTTGCAGAAACTGGGCATCACCCATGTCCTGAACGCTGCTGAGGGCAGGTCCTTCATGCACGTCAACACCAATGCCAACTTCTACAAGGACTCTGGCATCACCTACTTGGGCATCAAGGCCAACGACACGCAGGAATTCAACCTTAGCGCCTACTTTGAAAGGGCTGCAGACTTCATTGACCAGGCCTTGGCTCAAAAGAACGGTAAGGGACCCGCCACCTAGGAGACAGTAGGAGGCAGCTTTGACTGGACTTTCTTTTTTTTTGAAAACAGGCCACAACAGGCTTCCTCTTAGAAAACCTCTTGTTTCCTGTCTCCTGTGGTGAATGACAGAGAGCTTTTGGTCTCTCTCTGGCTGCCTGTCAAGTGGCCCCATATTACACAAGATGTTCAAACTTTTCACAAGTGGCGGCCCCAGGGTCCTTGTGTCGATTTGACTTTGAAGGTTAATTTCCAGCCATACGCCACCCCCCCTCGATTCTAAGAGCTTCAATAATGAAGACTTATTTTCCATGATAAGAAGTCCTAAGGTGGAGAAGCCCTGAGGTGGCTGATTCAACAGCTTAGTGGGGGCATTGCTTTTCCTCTCCCTCTCCTGCCACCTACAGGGTTGGGCACTGCCCTCATGGTCCCAAGATGGTTGCAACAGATCTAGTTACCATGTTCCAACAGGACAAAGTGCAGCAAAAGATGAGGCAGCCATCTCTTCCTCATGTTTCTCTCATTTTTAAGAACAAGTAGAACATTCCGCCAGTGGAATTCCCCTCACCTCTCACTGGTTAGAGTTGGGGGATGTGAGTACCTGGCGAGGGGAACGGGGCAGCCCCGATTGCCTTAGGCTGGGGATCAGTAAACTGTAGCCCACAGGCCAGGTCTTCCAGCCAGATTTTAGATGTTTCCTGAAGCAGGATCTCTGAAGTGCTGGCAGCTGTTCCGGAGAGAAATCCTAGAAGGCCACAGGCCAGGCGTCTGCAGAGCAGGCTGGGCCACTTGCCCTTTCTGCTTTCAGCTTCTTTGTCTCAGCAGCTGCCTTTACCTTTGCTCCAGCTCCAAGCTCTTCTTTCCTCCCCACCCCACACCTTCCCAGGGGAAGTGACCTCCACTGAGGCGTGATTAGCGCTGTCCGCCTGATTCTAGCCTGTCTGCTACACCGATGCTTCCTGTGCAGCCTCCCCACTGAAATGATTTCCAGTGAACAGAGTTTATTAGACGCTGGTTATCTCACGTTTGGGGCCCAGGAGGGAAGGTTCATTGCCTGGAGAATCTGTACACTTGACTGTCAGGCTAATGTGATCCTTCATGGTCTCTCATATGTGTCACCACCCTCCTCTCCTGTAGTTCTGGCCCATGTAGAGATGAGAACGAAGGGCCCAGTTGAGGGGCTGGGGGTTGCTCTTCTTGTATATCGCTTGGCCATCCATTCAGAGAACCGAGAGCTCTCTGACTTTGTTTCTTCCTTCCGTACAACTAGGAACATACCTTGACTTTTTGTGACCTCCGCCTTAGCGCACGTAGACTGGCTGGGTCATCAGTCTGGAAAGTCCTTTCTGCCTCTCCCTATCCTGTTCTCTAGCAAACCCCACCACGTGCTTTAGCGCTGGACCTAATGTCCTCTCTTCCATGAAGCCCTCCCCCTTGTCTGTCTCCCCCGCATCTGATGTGGCCTCAGGCACATAGCAGGGACATTGCAGATGACTACTGAACGAGTGACAAAAATGAATTCTGTGGGCTCTGATGCCAAATGTAAATGCTTCTAAGATTGACTGGCCAGGTGAGTCAACAGAAACTCACTGGCCTCCCACAGTGCAAGGCTCAGGGGAGCCGGGAGGGTGTGGGGGGGTGGGGATGGCCAGGGGTGCTCAGAGGAGGGAGTGATCTCTTCCAGCCTGGAAGATCAAGGGAGGCTTCATGGAGGAGGTGGTGTCTGGGTGGGGCCTAGAAGGACCGACTTTGAACCCTCCCCTTCCCCATTGGCTTGGAGCCCTGGGCAGGCTGAGTATGTTTGGGTAGTAAGGCAGCTGCTCTGCAGCGGGTCTTGTGGCTGGGATGGGGACAGGAAAATCCTCACTCTGCATACTTTGGGTACACTGGCCAGAGAGTGAATGAACAGGGAAGCGGAGGACTCCCCCTTCCCGCTTTGGGAGGCATTGGGAAAATAGAGTTGTGTTTTGGGAACAGAAGAGACTGTTTAACAGACTCTAGGCCAGCAGATTTCCTTCAAAATCATGCCTGTGTAGAGGTATTATGGGTGATCATTTACTCGGCTAGTCAGCAAATATTATTGAGCACCTGATGTATGCTAGCGATCGTAGGGCATCCAAAAATCAGTACCGCACAGTCCCTGCCCTTCATGAACACATGGTCTGGCTGAGGAGGGTCGATCGGTGCATAGCTGACGGTAGCAGGGGGCTGGGCTGTAGTAGAGGATGTACTGGGTGCCACCGGAGGACTCTTAGTGTTGGCTGATATTTATTGAGTGCTCACATCTGCCGAGCACTTGCCTAAGAGCAGGGCCTCGTGGGATTTTGGGGGAGCCATGAGATGGTGTTTTCATTTGTGTGTTCGTTTTGATTTTTTGTCTTGGTTTGTATTTGTATTTGACATTTATGTTCCTTTTATTTTTTTAAACTGCTCTGTCGAGGTATAACTGACATTCAGTAAACTCCACACAGTACAGTTTAATAAGTGTTGACATATGTATACACTTGTGAAACTGTCGCCACAACCAAGATAATGAGCAGATCCGTCAACCCCCACCTTTTCCTCTGTCTCCTTGTGACCCTCCCTTCTGCCCTCTCTGCCCTCCATTCCTAAGCCACCACCGATCTGCTTTCCATCACTAGCCACTAGTGTACATTTCATAGAGTTTTATATAAATGGAAGTACACAGTATGCATGCCTTTTTGGTCTGGTCTCCTTTACTCAGAATGATTTTTTTGCGTTTCATCCATGTTGTTGCAATAGTTCATTCCTTTTTAATGCTGAGTATTCCATCATATGGATGTACCACAGTTTGCTTATCCATTCACCTGTTGATGGACATTTGGGTTGATTTCATGTTTTGCTTTTGATTGAAATACAAATGCATATAGAGAGGTAGCCACATCACAGATGTGTAGATCAGTGCACTGTACACAACCATGTGCCAGCCCCCATATCAAGGAACGAAACACGACCAGCATCCGAGAAAGCCCACCACGTGTTCCCTCTCAAATCCCCCCAACCCCCACCTTTACCGCTATCCAGGTTTCTAATAGCATATATCAATTTGCCTGCTCTCCTGCTCCGTGGAGTCATATACATCCTATTGGTGCATGTCATCCACATTGTTTCTGATCACGTAGATTGTACATTCTTGTTATTTGTCCATCCTGCCATCGATGGGCCTTTGGGAGTCTCCAGACTGGGGCTGCCATGAATGGTGCTGGCTACGTTCTGGTGCATGTCTTTTGGTGAACATGGGTACGCACTCCAGCTGGCCATGGATCTGGGGTGGACTTGCTGGGCTCTCGGGGAGTCATGGGTTCAGCTTGAGTAGGTACCGCCACACAGTTTCCCAAAGTGGTGGGCCCGCTTATACCACCCTACCTCCCCCCAGCCACAGGCCAAAGTCCTAGCTGCTCCATGTCCTCTCCGATGCTTTGTGTGTTTTGTCTTTTTCATCTTGGCTGTCCTGGGGGGTACAGCATGGCCTTGCATTGTATTTTCCGTCTGTTTTTCCTGGAAGAGTTTTGACTAGAGCTGTGGCGATCGGGGGCCCAAGCTCACACTGTCACCCCGTTTCTTACAGGCCGTGTGCTCGTCCACTGCCGCGAAGGTTACAGCCGCTCCCCAACTCTAGTTATCGCGTACCTCATGATGCGTCAGAAGATGGATGTCAAGTCTGCCCTGAGCCTCGTAAGGCAGAACCGTGAGATCGGCCCCAACGATGGTTTCTTGGCCCAACTCTGCCAGCTCAATGACAGACTAGTCAAGGAGGGGAAATTGAAACTCTAGGGTTCCCCTGCTGCCTCTTCTCTAGAAGTTGGACAGGGGAGGCCCTGGTTGAGGTGTCCCAAGCTGTCATGTTTAGGAAACACAGTGTACCCTGCTCCCAGCATCACCAGGCACTTGCCCACAAATCTGTCCCAATACAGCCCTGGGCCACTTTCCCCTGAGGAGCATATAAAGAAGCTTGCTAAGAAGGACATTCTTACTCCCTGGTGTGTCTTGTGCCTGCAATTTATGATGTCCTCTTCCTGAGGTGGGTTCGCAGAAGGGGAAGGCCTGTGACATGCATGCTTGTGGATGACCCAGGCCAGTAAGTTTGTGGAATCGTAAGGCCTGAGGTGCTCACGGGGGCCCTTCCCGATCTTCTCCATCCCCCACCCCTGGGTCCTCTCCTGAGTGGGGAATGCAACACCTCGAGCCCTGTAAAGGAACTATGCAAACTCGGGCCCTCTCTTCCCCACATCTGTCTCCCCCGTCTCCTCACAGTCACCCACACTCTGCTTCTAGGCAGAGACGTGTCGTGAGGTCTGAGGTTGGTGTGGGGTAGCTGTCGGTTGTTAATGGGTGGAAATTCCCATGAAGAGACCACATTTTAATGATAGGATTAAAGATACCTAAACGAAGAGGCCCTCAGGTGGGCAGATTCCCCTGAATCGACAGTTCCTAAAATGTGAACCCCTGGAAGGCTTGAGCTCCGAATAGTTCCCTGAGGCTGCTCTTAGTCACTTGGTTTGTTAGAAGAGTGATGCCTCAGGCATGGTTTTATTTTTCTTTTTTAGAAAACAGGGTGTTGAAGTCCAGCCTATTTAAAAACCCCACCATTTGGAGAATTACAAGGGTTTTGTCCTGAATTATAGTGTTGGTGAGCCCAAGCCACTCGTGCTATCTGCTTTTTTGTCTCGGTTGCTATTCCAAGAACAGGAGGAGGAAATTGGCCAATTACAGCGTGTGGTGTGGGTGTGTGTGGGGGGGTGTGTCTCAGAAACACAACCAGAGGAAGGGCGAGCAGGGAGATGAACGGTTCAAGGCTCACCCCCTGCCCACTTATAGGTAGTTTTTACAGCTCTCTGATGCCAGAAAAGATCCTGGACCCTTGGGAGCAAAAATGACTCAGCCAGGCAGAAATGAAACATGACAGAGCATCCAAATGGAGCCTTTATTGGTGATAGAACAAACAAACAAGCAAAAAGAGATGACTTTTTTTTAGGATAATGTCGGAATGCACTAGCACCTACACTTGTGTGTGCACATTTGTCAGAATATAGGGTTTTGTCTTCAACCCAGTCTTGTTAGGACTTTGCATGATTGTCCACAAGTGATGCAATGCTGTCATCTTCAGGTTCCCTAATGGCAGAGCGGTGGTCCTCAGCCATGCCCCCAGCACGTAGCACATAGGTGTCTGATAGAAGTTTGTAGAATTTAACTTTTTTATTTTGAGAACCAAATATATATAGGGCATTGTTCTGGTGGGTGTATCACGCTCCCAGAAGCCTGAATTTGTGGTAGGATCACTTGTAAGGATTTGCAAGAGAGCCTCACCTGAAATGAAATATCAGGGACTTTTATTGAATAATTAAAGTTGTTTTAAATTTAAATTCAGGCAGTGTTAACATGTCAAGGTTGCAGAATGTGCCTTTTTCAGAGTCGACCAGGAGCTTTTGGCCAGGACCAGGAGAAGCAGGTGTGCCTTCGGGCCTCGCTCACGGGTGTAATGGTCTCTATCTCAACAGGGGCAGCACTGCGCAGCCTGGACGGTCCCTTTTCTCTGTGGTCACGGCAGCCCGGAACAAACTAGGATCTGCCGTCTTTATCAGATACTGGCTGTCCAGATAGAGCCACCTAAGCGAAATGGCCATCCTCTAAACTCTGTACCTCACGGTTTTCAGATAACTCTCCCACTTCATCTAACTTGAGCCTCACAATAACCCTAGTTGGTAGAGCTTATTTGTATATTATCACCTTTTTTAAAAAGCTGGGGTCCAGAGTGATTAAGGGCCTGGCCCGCAGGGTTGCCCATCTCAAGGCAGAGTTGAGGCACTGTTTCAGGTTTGCCACTCTGAAGCTGAATTCTTTCTCTCACACTGCACTTCTCAAGAAATGAGCCCCCTGGAGTGTCCAGGTGCACTGCACATGCCCTTGGCCCAGCTCGTGTGTTCAAGGGCCAGTTTGCTTTGTGGACAGAGTACAAGATTCAAGCTGCGGTGCCAAGGTGGGGGTTCTGGATGAGGGTGGGACAGAGTTGGCACAAACCCATCCCTGCTCCAGGAAAAGGAAGTAAAAGTTGGGGTTAGAATCTATGGCTCTTCTTCCAGGAAACATGTAGCATACCTAAGTCAGAGCTTTCTGCTCTGCTTCTGGAAAAGGCTCAAGATAGGGGGGCTGGGGCTCCCCTCCCACATCCAGGCCGTGGTCACCACACAGGATGGCCGCAGCTACATAGGAGCTCTTGAGGGCCTGTTTGTAGGGGCATGAGGTCAGTGGGAGAATTACTGCCTTTACTTTGGCACTACTTTTTGCTGATAACTTGAGATTTCTTGATAGTCTTTAGTCTCAGAAACCCCATATTTACTTCACGAGATTTAGCTCCTAGATCTTTGAGTAAATAAATTTCTATTGTATAAGAGTTAACACAGCTGTGAGTGGAAGCTGTTTCTGGACAACTTTTTATCCCCTGGGAAGTGATGAAATAGGAACTCAGGGTGTACTCACCTCCTTCCCTGATATGGTCCCTGTCTTTGACTAGCAGACCCCCAAATTACAGCACCAAATGTTTCTTCTCTGTTCTAAAGTAGTACACCTTCCACAGGCTGGTCTGTTTCCCTGCCACTCTGAGTTATCTGGAGAGCAAAAATCACCATCTATCAACCAAGGGAACTCACCTAGAATAACTTTAAGGTCCCTTTTGGCTCTGACACTGTAGGGTTCTTCAAGAATCTCCACTTGGAAATTTACCACCACCTGGAAATTGGAAGGTATGTAATAATATGATGACCAGCAGGTGGCGCTGTGTCCTATTCGTGGTGATGGATGATTGAAAAAGGAATGTTGGTGCCTTTTGTGTCGCAAGTTAACGTTAAGATGCTAACGTTTTAATCAAAATAAGCACTGATCTTACAAAGATATGAGCTTTTCTCACAGGAAACTTCCTGTCATAAAACCGAAGTCAGGAATCACTGAAGAGCCAACAAGGTCCTTCCAAGTCAAGATTTTATCCTGATTAGAAATAGAGACCGTGTCTGGTTGAGAGAGTAGATTGGTTGGAAGCTTAACTTACCTCCTGCCAGCTTTTAGGGTAATTTGATTGTGAAAGCATGAATTTTCTGGACAGAAAAGGGGAAAGTATTAAATTGATTTTTTAAAGTAAGTTTAACATCTGTTGTATCACGGATCAGTGTTAAAATACTAATACTGTAACCAAAATAAATGTCTTATGTTACAAAGAAATGTTTGTCCTATTACAGTTGATTGCTTTTATGCTTAGCTTTTATGCTTGCTTTTTCTAACTTAAAAAGGATTGTTCAGCCCTCCTAAGCTAGTTATAGGTTCCATGATGATTGTATTTATGCAGTAGATATTTGCTAAACATCTCCTCAGTACCAGAAAATTCCTGTGTTAGAAATAATCTTTTCATTTATTTAAAATTTTCAGCTTTATTGAAGTATAATTGACTGGAATATGCTTGAGTAGAGTGGCCTACCCCAAATGAGGGAATTAAGATTTATGTCTCTGAGAAAGCAGGGGGCTGGGTTGACAGTCTCGAGGTGGCCTCACATTAAGATGGTTGAATGGCTTTTTAGGATTTGAGTGATCCTGAAGACTGGGCAGTCCTAACATATATCCCTGCCCCCAGATGCCTTAAATTCCACCATTAGCATTATCCCCTCTAGGCTAAGCATTGCCATTTTCCCTCTGAATAAAAAACTCAGGAAGAGTCTGGACAGAAAAACAGCTTCTGTAGTCTCTAGTTCTCCGTAGCGTGAGGCAATTAGACTAGCTCATTATTAGTCAGACCACTTAAGCAACATACTCTTCATATCGTTACATAAAATCTTAAGGCAGAGCATTAATATATAAAACTGGTAAAAGTGTTTTTTAAGTATAATTTTAAAAATATTTTAATTAAAAAGTTAATACTGTATATACATAGTAATAAATTCAAACACAAAGTGAATCTCCTCCCCCAAACCTTCAATCCCTCTTCCTTAGAGGAAGCCACTAAGTATATCTTTCTAGAAAAATCCCATGCATATGTAAGCACACACATATGTATACATGTGTATCTATAGAGATATCCTTTTCCCTATAAATGGAAAATGTTTTTTGCACTGTCTTTTGCTTAATAGAGTTTACCCATTATTTCATATAGTCATTAATTGTAATAGCTACATAGCATTCCATTGTGTATGGATATATTATATATTGCATAAAGTATGGATGTGATTTCTGTATACCCTTATTTTAAAGATCTAGGCTGCTTTAACAAGCACATGTTGAAATGGGACTTGTGGATGACAATTGCAGTTTTTTATCTGCTTTGTATCTTGTTAATTTCTGTGTCTGTTGTGGCACAGTGTCAAGCACACCCCAATACTCAGAAGTAAAGATTGTGTTGTGCTTGCTTGTGTCATTTTATGGGAGCAGACATGCCCAATCTAATTTTAAAAGACAGTCTCTGAGCTATGGCCTTCCGAATCGATCCATTTATTAGAAGTTCAAGTGCACAGAGATTCAGTTTCTGAAGTGTACACTAAAAATGAGTTAAACTGGAGGCAAAACAATGAATGGGTGGTCTCCAGTTTATTAGAAGCGGATGTATAACACATTTGATCGATGTGTGTTTTTATTATAGTTTTAAATAATTAAAATGTGCATATTTTTTAAATCATGAGTCATCTCTATGGAAACCTGGGGTTCTGAGAAACCTAGGTTGAAAGCCCGTAGACTAGATGACCTTCTAGTTTAACGTTCCCAGGTATACAGCACATGGGTGGCCACCCTGTGAGGAAGGAGGGCGGTAGGGGGGCAGGGGGCACTGAAAAGGGAAGGGTCTCACACAGGGCGCCAAAGAACTTCTAGTCATTCTCCCCTGAACGCTTTTTTAACCAGGCCTTGCCTTTGTGACTTGCATGTTTGTATTCGTATTGTCCAACCTTAGCAAGAATCCTGCTAAGTCACTTTAGCCAGAATCCCCCATCCTCCATGTCTGATCCCTCAATATCTAATCGGCTTCCTCATTCTTCACCATCACCCGGTGAAGTCTGATTCTCCTGGCCTGCTTTCATTAAGAGTCCGTTAGATCAGTTTAGCCAGAATCCTCCTCACCCCCAATGTTTCCTCTTAGTAATGTTTTATCTAGTGACCCCCACTCTGCTCCTTGGCAGTAAATTCCCACTCTTCCTTGGAGTCGAGCCCAAACTCT